GCGCCGGAGGGAGCTGATCCCGCTGAGGTTGCAGCAATGTTTTATTGCTCACTATATTTCAGCCACAAGATCAAATAGAAGTCGGGGAAGACGGCTTTAAGCAGTGGGATGGTAAGAGCAGTGTTCCCTATAGGATGCAGTAATGTATATTCTTTTTTCCTAAGTATTTCTTTTTTTGTTATTAAAAGCTTTAACAGTAAATTTCCTTAACTGTAACTTTACCGAGCTCAATCTGCTTTATACTTTGGAGCCCGTGGTGTTTGATGGTGTTTGATGGTGTCCCTTTTTCCCACCCACCCCCTTTCTCCTGACTAGTGTTGGATTCCCTGGATATGGAGGCAATGGTGAGCACAGTGCGGGCCTGGATTGAGAACCCAGTGAAGTTTGCCCGTTCGCACGGGGTGAATGTCACACCTGGCTCTAGAGAGCCAACCTCCCAAGATATCCATGTATTGGTCATTGAAGGCTTCCTGCTTTATAATTACAAGTAAGGTTTGGAGAACTCTTCATGGTTTGCCAGGGAAGATCCTTAAATCCCTCGTGCCAGAGCTCAAAACTCCTTTTTACTAATTTCCCTTTCCTGCCTTGCTCGGAATTCTCACCCCGGAGAGTTTCCTGCTGAAAAATGTAAAATTAGCTCCTAAATGTAGAAGTGAGATGAATTTAGGGCAGAGCCTTGAGCTCCAGGGGAGTTTCAGAGCAGGATTTTTGCTGGCAGAGGGGTGCAGGCTTCCCCTCGTCCCCCCACCTCGGTGAGAAGAGGGCAATAATCCATTCACTGCCTGGGATCTCTCCTGGAATTTAGGAACAGTTCTCTCCTGTGCTTGCTTAGCACTGGCTACGCTGAGCTTAGTGAGAGGAGCAAGCTGTGGCAGAGAAACTCCCTGGGTTTTTGTGGAGGACCATGGAATCCCAGAAGGGTTTGGAAGGGACCCTAAAGCCCATCCAGCCTGGCCTTGGCCGCTTCCATGAACGTGAGCTGAGGAGTTGCCCTGTCCCAGATTTTGCTGCAAACTGATTTTGGAGTGGTCTAGGAAGAGCCAGGGTTCCCAGCCCAGTGCCTGATCCTCCACAGGATCCCCTCTGATCCCCCTCAGGAGCAGTGGCAGGTGTTTGGGTGGGAACAGTCCCTGCCTGGGCCTTTCTGACCTTCAGAAAGAAACTTTCTGTGGTTTTGAGTTAACAAACCCGTGAGGGAAGCATTTACCCCTGGGTTGTCTTCAACAGACACAAATCCCATAGAGGCAGAGAGATTTCTGTGGTGTCTGGGGTGATTTCATGCTTTCTGCTGTCATTAAAAGTGACATCTGCACGTTGTGTCCTTGTCCCCTCCCCAGACCTCTGATCGAGCTCTTTGACCTTCGCTACTACCTGGCAGTGCCCTACCACGAGTGCAAGAGGAGGAGGAGGTGAGAACATTCCTGGGTGTGCCTCCAGTCCCTCCCTCCTGTCCTTCACATTGCTTTTAGTCGTGGAATCAGGGAGTGCTTGGGGTTGGAAGGACCTTAAAGGTCACCCCCTCCCAGCCCTGCCGTGGCAGGGACACCTTCCACACCCCAGGCTGCTCCAGCTCTGCCAGGGTCTGGGATGAGTTGGATCAGAGTGGGAAGTTTGGCCAGAAGGGGAGGAAGGGACTTTGATGTGGTCAGCTTGGAATGACAGGCTGGGCTTGGAGAGGATCTCTGAGATGGAGTCCAGCCATGAACCCTTCACCCCAACCACGTCCCCAAGTGCCACATCCCTCCCTTCCAAACACAGGCACGGGGGCTCCACCACTGCCCTGGGCAGCCTGTGCTGATCCTTCACAATCCTCCCCATGAGAATTTATTTTCTAACAGCCAGCCTGAAGCTCAGCACCTCCCTGACATTCCTTCTCCATGCTTTTACTGCAGCACACGGAATTACACCGTGCCCGACCCCCCCGGCCTCTTCGACGGCCACGTCTGGCCCATGTACCTCAAACACAGGAAGGAGATGGAGGACTCTGGTGTGGATGTGGGTGAGTCTTCCTTCCCCAAGCACAAATCCTTCAGCCTTGGCCTTGGAATTTAAGGAATTGGGTGATTTCATCCGAGGAAGCTTCCACTGTGATGATGCAGGGTGATATTTTTACTCCCAAGTTGTAATCCTGGCCTACTTTGGATAAATACTGGCAGTTTTAGAGCTAAGAAATTATTCCCTTTTGCTTTGTACTACTAAGGACTCAGAGGGGATGAAAAAGTTCAAGTTGTATTTTCAGGATGCTTCTGTTTTTCCAATAGAAAAACAAGCTGTCCTTTGGGTCAATAAAATATGAAATATTTAAAAATTAATCTCCCAAAATCTTATTCTGATGGGAAGCCCAGCCTGACTCCCCCTTTTCTCTCCCAGTTTATTTAGATGGCCTGAAGTCCAGGGATGACCTCTACAACCAAGTCTTTGAAGATATTCACAACAAGCTCCTAAATTGCTGACAGGTAACTGAACTCCAGAGGGTGGAAGATGAGGGACTGTGCTGGGAACAGCTTGGAGCTCACCCTTTTTCCCTTCCTCCTTTCCAGGGTCTGGGAGGATCCCAAAGATCCGTGTACAGTGTGATGTAAATAATACTTGGAAGTGGGAATGGGAATTGGTGTGAACTCCTCTCCCACTGCCCTTGGCAAGTCCCTTCTGTATATAATTGAAATTGAGGATAACTTATTCCCACCACGTGGACAGGATCGCCTCGGTGGGGTTTATTTTTTAATTCTTTTATATTCCACTGGCTTACAGAGAAGCTGGAAACAGCATTTTTATAGCAGAGCAAGTAGAGCTGTGCTGGGAAAAGGAGAGAGCTCCTGCAGACACAAATGCTTCATGCAAGGCTTGTTTGTAACATCAACTCAGTAAAAATCCACTTCAGTCTCCTTCTGAGGTCCTGATTGAATTCATCACTCAGCTTTATTGCAATAAAAATGGGTATGAAGCTCATCCAAAAGACAACAGCAGCCTCTCTGTCCTGGGTGTTTGAAATTGCAGCCCTGGGTGGCCTCAAAGCTCCCTCCACGTGTCACTGCTTGGGCTTGGTGCTCACACAGCCCCGGGGGGAACGGCTCAGTTTGTGAACTCAGATCCATGAGTGAACTGAGGGGATTTCTCAGGGAATGAGAGCTGTGCTTCCCTAGGAACCATTTGAAGCATTAAAGCTAAAACAGCTTCCAAATTTCAGCCTGAGAGGGCAGTGCCATCCCTCAGTGCCTGTGGAGCTGCCCATACAAAACCTGGGGGATCAGCACTGGCAGCTCTCAGGCTCTGAAATAACTTGGCTGGGGGGGTCCTTCCCAAGATTTTGGGGCCTGAATTAGAAACTGCTCTGGAAAAGCAGCTGCTTTTAATTAATTTAATTTTAGTTAATGAGGAGCCACCCAAAAACCCACCGAGGAGGGGCTTGCAGCAGCCTGATGGGAGCCAGATCCATCTCCTTGTCCTTGTCCCACTCCCATGAGTTCCCAGTTGTCCTGGGCAGGGATGCCACGGGCAGAAAGAGCTGTGGCTCCTGGGGACACCCACCCCTCTCTGATGGCACCATCCCCGGGCAGGGACACCCTGCTGTGAGCTGCCACCCTGGGGAGCACTGCCCACAGCTCAGCTCTGGCAGGAACAGCAGATCCCAGGGGATGCAGCCGTGGGATCTCCCTGTGCCTGCACGGGTTGGTTTAAGCTGTGCAAAAGCCTTTGGGGTTTGTGAAGACTTATAAGGGAAAAGCCTTCACTCCCACCTCCTGCCAAACTCTGGGAAGCAGAAATGGGAGCCCAAAAAAGGCATTTTGGTGTCTCTGTCCACAGAGAAGGGAATGTCACGGGAAAGGCAGCTCCAGCTGCTGAGAGGGGGCTGGAGCAGAACATCCTGCTGACCTCACAGCACTGGAACCCCCGGGCAGCACAGCCCTTCCTTCCCAACACGAGTTCCTACAGCTTCAGGATTAGGAGAACTCATCAAATCATGAATCACACCCCAAATTTGGCTTTTTTAGAGCTACTTTTGTGTCATTTCGTGCATCCACGTGAGAGATCCCCTGCTGCTCTGAGGCTGGGGTGAATGACCAGCCACTTCCAAGAGCCTTTTGGGAGTGTGAAACCCAAACCCTCGGCAGGAAGAGAACCCAGGAAAGGTTTCTCACTATGTGACCTTTGGGAACAGCCGGGCCTATAGGATTTCCATACATCCTTTCACCCACTGCCTGTGCCAGCTGAGCTGGGGCTGCACCAAATCCACACACAGTGCCAGGATGGGGCACCCTGAGGGCTCCGAGCCCCCCGCTGTCCCCTCACGTGGCCTGAGCCCGTGCTGGACACTGGGACAGCCCCAGTCACGCCACCTCCCGTGGGAGCCAAGTGCCTTGGCAGGGAACACCAGGGCAGATTAAATTATCCACCTGTCCCATGCATGGGAGTGAAACCTACAGCTGATGGAACGTCAGCGGGGACAGGGACGTGGGGCAGCCCCCCTGACCCCCAGGGAGCCACAGGAGAGCAACAAATAAATCCCAAATGGAGCAAATCCCCAGGGCCTGGAGCTGAACCCGCCCTGCCAGCCAGGGGGACGCCTGCCATGCTCTGGCATTTGGCTGGTGATTCCCCCGGATCAAATTCTGCTGGATCTTGGCTCCAGAGGGGGGCCACAGGCAGGAAAGCCCGTGGTGCTCCCAGGGGAAACGTGCTCCCTGCTCTGGTGTTCTCTGGAATGTGGCACTTTGGGACCTGGCTCCCCCTGTCCCCAGGAGTGAGGGATCTCAGGCAAGAGGAGCTGGGGGCTCCCCCCAGCCTGGGAACATCCCACAAACCACCCCTAGACCTCCCTCCATGCCCACAGCGAGCTCACCCACCAGCACGGGGTCTCCTAAGGAAAAAAAGCATTTTTCCCCCCAAAATTAAGGAAGTCCCTTTGGAATGGGAGCACAGTGGGGGAGCTGTCACCACGGGGCACATCCTTACCTCCCTCCCAAGCCCCGTCCCGCCATGGCAGGAGCCGAGGCTGCCACCCCACTACACAGAAACCTTTATTCTGGGAAAAGGGGGAGCCAGGGCTGGGACAGGGGGACAAGGGGCGCGGCACCCTGGGGGCAACGCGGGGCGCAGGGGCCTCCGGGGGGCTGCAGACTGTGAGGCCACGCAGGGATCAGTCCTTGGTCCCAGCCCATGCATGGCTGCTGCTGCAGCGTAGAGGGGAGCTGTGCCCACCAACCCCCCCACTGGGGGAGCACTGGGGCAGCTCGGGGACCCGGGTGACAGCGGGGGACAAACGTCCCGGAGCACGGCAGCGGTGACGGGGAGCGCAGGGACACGAGCTGGGCGGGAAGCCGAGCCCCGGGGTGGCACGGCCCCGGCCCCCCGAGGTGGGGGCTCCAGGGAGGCACAAGCACCCCCCACTCCCCGGGGGCCGCGGAGCCCCCCGGGCCCGGCCGGGTTAGCGGATGCTGCCGTCGCCCTCGCTGCTCTGCAGCTTCTCCCGCTCGATGGACCACACCAGCTCCTGCACGAACTTCATCTCCGAGGCCACCTGCTTGGCCAGGGCCTCGTAGCGGTTCTCCAGCTTGCGGTAGCGCCGCTTGAGCCCGTTGGCGGCCTGCACCACGCTCTTGGTCTCCTCCTGCGCCTGCTTCTTCAGCGCCTCCGTCTTCTGCAGCTCCTGCCGGATCTGCCGCAGGTCCTGGCTGATGCTCTCGTTCTCCTCTTTGTACCACGACTCCTTCTCCTCGTAGATGGACAGCAGCGCCTCGATGTCCTCCTGGAAGGACTTCTTGTTCCTCTCCAGCTCTCGGAGGCTCTCCTCGGCCGCAGCCACCTCCTCCATGACCTTGGAGAAGCGCTCGAAGTTGATGTAGGTGTTGTTGGGGGGCATGCTGGAGTGGGATTTGATGGTGTACTCCTTCAGGCGCGTGGTCTTCAGCCGGCGCCGCTCGGGCTTCTTGCAGCTGTCCTCGTTGCGGACGTTCCTCCTCTTGATCACCTGTGGCAGGGACAGTTGTGGCTGCAGCACCCACCCGCAGGCCGTGACACCAAACCGACCCCCACAGGGCTGGGGGAGCAGCAGAGCCCCGGCCTCGGGGGGTCAGGCACCCAAAAAGTGCCAATTCTTTAACTCCTCACCTTAATCCAAGGGTGCTCCAGGCTCTGGGCGATGGTCATTCGCTTCCTGCAAACACAGCAAGGCTGGCATCAGGGCACAGGCTTTGCTCCCCTTTCCCTGTTAAAGCCCTGGAAAAGCAGCTTGGATCCTGTGATTGCCTTTGGGGTCTGAGCCTGGACAAACTCACTGCACTCAGGGCCCCCCAGACAGAAGCTGCATGCAGCCCCCAACCCCTCAAACTGCCTCCCAAGAGAAACACAGGCAGAGGATCCTGTGGGAACCTCCTGACCCCGCTGCTCCTTCCCAAGCTGTGAGCTCTGGGGCCCAGCTCAAACCCTCCCAAACCCCAGTGGAGCTACTGCACCCTCGGGGTGATGCCAGAATTCACCCCACCCTGGCGCAGGCAGGAGAGAGGGAGCTGGCTGGGCAGGGGGGACTGTCCCCTGTCCCAGAGGAACCCCCAGCTCTGCTCCCTGTCCCTCACTTGGGGTCCTTGACGAGCAGGCGGCGGATGAAGTCCTTGGCCAGCTCGCTGGTGTTGCTGAAATATTCCTCATCGAAGTCATAGTTGACAGCAGAGATGTTGGTCAGTGTCTCCTGCTTTGTCTCCCCCAGGAACGGGGAGGCTCCGCTCAGCCTGAGGAGAGAGTGGGTTGGGACACCCCAAAAAGGCTCCAGGCCGAGGTGGGGGGCTCATCCTGCAGCCCTGTCCCCTCCAGAGCTGCCTTATACTCACAGGATGTAGGTGATGACCCCGATGCTCCTGGAAGAGAGAGGGAGAGGAGGATGAAGTCACACAGAGCTTTTGGCACGAGGGGATTGGCTGCTGGAGCCACGGGAAGGGGCTTGGGAGGGGAATCACTCACCACATGTCAGCCTCCAGCCCCAGGGGCTCGTAGTTCACAATTTCTGGGGCTTTAGGAGAAAAGGGGAGGAAATGGATTTATTGTGGGGGAAGGAAGCCTGGCCCCCTGGACACATCCTGGCAGCAGCACTGGAGTGCTGGCTGTCTCTCCAGGATTAATCCAAAGCTCTCAGTACCCCGAGGAGCCCCCAGGAATGCTCACCTACAAACTCTGGGGTCCCAAAGATATTCTTGAACTCATTCCCAGCCTCGATCTTGTGGGCAATCCCAAAGTCAATGAGTTTGATGCGAGGGTTTGGCACGTTCTTGTCCAGCAGCATGATGTTCTCTGGCTGTGGGGGGAGAGGAGCTGGGTCTGTCCCTACACACCAGCCTGGGGGAACTGCACTGGGCTCTTCATTCCAGAGGAGAGGATGAGGGGATCAAGCTGGGAGAGATCCCAAGCACCAGCCCCACTGCTCTGCAGGAGTGCACTGACCTCCACTCCTCAGCACTGATCTCCAGACCCCACCTGGGAGTTTATCCCTGCTTCCAGTGCTGAACACGGGGTGTCTGTATCCCCCAGAGCCCACCTGGGGGCTCATCCCTGCTCCCAGTGGCGTGTATCCCCCAGAGCTCACCTGGGGGCTCATCCCTGCTCCCAGTGGCGTGTATCCCCCAGAGCTCACCTGGGGGCTCATCCCTGCTCCCAGTGGCGTGTATCCCCCAGAGCTCACCTGGGGGCTCATCCCTGCTCCCAGTGGCGTGTATCCCCCAGAGCTCACCTGGGGGCTCATCCCTGCTCCCAGTGGCGTGTATCCCCCAGAGCTCACCTGGGGGCTCATCCCTGCTCCCAGTGGCGTGTATCCCCCAGAGCTCACCTGGGGGCTCATCCCTGCTCCCAGTGGCGTGTATCCCCCAGAGCTCACCTGGGGGCTCATCCCTGCTCCCAGTGGCGTGTATCCCCCAGAGCTCACCTGGGGGCTCATCCCTGCTCCCAGTGGCGTGTATCCCCCAGAGCTCACCTGGGGGCTCATCCCTGCTCCCAGTGGCGTGTATCCCCCAGAGCTCACCTGGGGGCTCATCCCTGCTCCCAGTGGCGTGTATCCCCCAGAGCTCACCTGGGGGCTCATCCCTGCTCCCAGTGGCGTGTATCCCCCAGAGCTCACCTGGGGGCTCATCCCTGCTCCCAGTGGCGTGTATCCCCCAGAGCTCACCTGGGGGCTCATCCCTGCTCCCAGTGGCGTGTATCCCCCAGAGCTCACCTGGGGGCTCATCCCTGCTCCCAGTGGCGTGTATCCCCCAGAGCTCACCTGGGGGCTCATCCCTGCTCCCAGTGGCGTGTATCCCCCAGAGCTCACCTGGGGGCTCATCCCTGCTCCCAGTGGCGTGTATCCCCCAGAGCTCACCTGGGGGCTCATCCCTGCTCCCAGTGGCGTGTATCCCCCAGAGCTCACCTGGGGGCTCATCCCTGCTCCCAGTGGCGTGTATCCCCCAGAGCTCACCTGGGGGCTCATCCCTGCTCCCAGTGGCGTGTATCCCCCAGAGCTCACCTGGGGGCTCATCCCTGCTCCCAGTGGCGTGTATCCCCCAGAGCTCACCTGGGGGCTCATCCCTGCTCCCAGTGGCGTGTATCCCCCAGAGCTCACCTTCAAGTCGAAGTGGGCGATGCGTTTGGAGTGCAGGTAGTGCACCCCGTCCAGGATCTGCTTGAGGAACTGCGTGGCCTCCTCCTCCGTCAGGGATTCCTTCTCGGCCAGGAAATCGAAGAGCTCCCCTCCGGACACCAGCTCCAGGATGAGCACCACGTCGGTCTTGTTCTCGAAGATGTCGTGCAGGGTGATGATGTTGGGGTGCTGGATCTCGCGCAGGATGTCCACCTCGCGCTCGATCTCCTCGCGGCTCACGCCCCTGCGGCTGGACGACAGCCGCCGCTTCTTGATGAACTTGGCCGCGTACTCCAGGCCCGTCTTCCTCTCCCGGCACTTCCGCACGATGGCGAACTGCCCGCTGAGGGGTGAGGGAGGAGGAGAGCATGTCCTGGCTGCAAGCAGCTCCAGGATGGGGGCTGCAGGACGCAGTTTTGCCCCCCAGGAATGCCAGGAGTGGGATCTGGTGATGCCCGCCCGCTCCCGGGCTTTGCACGCCCCGGCACCAGCCAGGGTGGAGGAAGGGAATTCCTCCCAGGAGGAAGGGAATTCCTCCCAGGAATGTGGCAGCTGCAGATCCTCCCTGTGCCGTTCAGGTGCTGCTGTGATCACCCAGCCTGGGAGATGCCCCCATCAGCCCCCACTTCCCAGCCTGGAGCTCCCAGGAGCAAATCCCAGAGCCGTGGGAGACCCTAAAGCCCTGCTGGAGAATGCAGGTGGAGGGGAAATGGCTGAAATCAGAGCAACTGCACCTGGACCTGAGCCTCCTTCACACCTTTATACATCCCTGAATCATGGCCAGGGAGAATCCTTTATACCTTTATAAATCTCTGAATCATGGCCGGGGAGAATCCTTTATACATCCCTGAATCATGGCCAGGGAGAATCCTTTATACAGCCCTGGATCATGGCCGTGGGGCTTTACACAGCCCTGGGGGGCAGAGGGGGGTCCTGCCACGGGCACTACATCCCTCCCCATGGCTCGCAAACAACCACAGCCACAGGGAGGCAAAAGAACCTGGAGCAACTCCTGGAAGTTCCTCTGCTTTGAAAAAAAAAGAAAACCACTTAAGTGACGCCAAACGCTTTTGCTGCCCAAGTGCCCGAGGAGGAGCCACGGCGCGGGGCTGGCGCGGCCGAGGCAGCGCTGGAAGATCCCAAGCTGCTCCCAAGCTCCTCCCAGGGCTGGAGGATCCCGAGGCAGCTCCCCGAGCGCCGCCTCTGCATCCCGGCTGATTAAATCCCATCTGCGGGCTCTGAGTCAGCCTGGATCCTCCCACAGGCGCCGGGCCAGGCGCAGGCACCGAGGAGGGCCGGAAGCCGCCGGCCCCGGACCGGAGCTCCGCCGGGAACAACGCTAATTAACGCTTTTTAAAAAATCTCTATCTGCCAGAGGTGCCCGACTCTGCACAGCGCTGGCCCCGCTGCCTCCAGAGGGGGCACAGGACAGCACGGGGGATGCAGCAGCGGATCCAGTGAAGCTCCTGGCAGGGGGTGCAGCCACGGAAGCCCCCCCAGAAGGCAGCGGGATGTCCCTCACCTGCCCAGCTCCTCCCCCATCTCATAGAAGTCCTCCACGCTCTCCTGGCGGAAGGTGGACATGGCTGCGGGGCCCTCCGGAGCGGGAGCCGCCCCGCTGCTGCCAGCGCTGGATGTCAGGGGCGGGGAGCAGCCGGGGGTCAGCACCTGTGGCACCGGGAAAAGGGGGGCTGTGTCCCGGGAGCTCACACCAGCACCCAGCGCAGGCACCCCGAGTCCCCGGGGATGCACAGACCCGGGCTAGTCCCGGGGATGCCCCCCGGTCTCACCACTCCCCAAAAACCAGATAGAGAAGGGGAGGGGGCCACAGCCTCTCCCTGCTCCACAGGCCCCACACCCGCTGTCCACCCAATCCTGCTCATCCCTTTCCTGGCCCACTTCCCCTTCTATCCCAACCCTGCACATCCCCTCCCTGCCCCACAGCCCCCCCAATCCCTCACAGACCCCACACCCACTCTGTTCCCAATCCCTGCACATCCCCTCCCTGCCCCTCCCCGCTCCAATTCCCCAGGGCCCCTCTCACACCCACAGCCCTCAACCCCTCCCCATCATAATCCCTCCCCCTCCTTTTCCATCCCCCCCGAACCCCACGGCCGCTCCCAATCCCGACCCACAGCACCTCCCGGCCCCACAGGCCGCACACCCACCGCCGCCCCTTTCCTTCCCCACCCCACCCCACAGGCCTCAACCCCCCACACGGCTCCCCAAGCGATCCCTCCCTCCTCACCGCACCCAGCCTCCCTCCATCACCACTCTGCCACCCGCACAGCCCCTCCCGGCCCCACATCGCCCCTCTCAGACCCCTCATTAGAACCGGCCCCCGTTCCCCGACCTGGGCCGCCGCCGCCCGCGCCGCCGCCGCCACATTCCAGCACAGCAGGCCCCGCCCCCTCAGCACAAACCGCGCCGCGCTGCGCACGGAGCCCCGCCCACACGGCCGCGTCCTGAGGGCTCCGAGCGTCCTGAGGGCTCCGAGCGTCCTGAGGGCTCCGAGCGTCCTGAGGGCGCCGGCGGCGGCCGGGGCTCCGAGCGGCGCGGGGCTCCTCCCGCATGGAAGGTGCCACCACACGCAAGTGTGGCTGGTTTGACAGTGCCAAGTGCCTCCTGCAAACTGACATCAGGAGCCTGCCCTGAGAGTTTTGTTTCCCAGGGAAAAGGGCCGGCGTTCGTGTCCAGGGCCCGCCGGCCCGGAGTGCCAGCTGCCGGCAGAAATTCCAACATTGCAGGATACCTCCCAGACGCAAGGTGCCACCACAGGCAAGTGTGGCTGGTTTGACAGTGCCAAGTGCCTCCTGCAAACTGACATCAGGAGCCTGCCCTGAGAGTTTTGTTTCCCAGGGAAAAGGGCCGGCGTTCGTGTCCAAGGGCCAGCGGCCCATACTCCCAAGCCCCGCCCACTCTGCCAGAAGCCCCGCCCCCTGTTCGCGGATGGGCGGGGCTAAGCGCGGCCGTACGGCACCACCCCTCCACAGCCACCAGAGGGCACCACCCTCACCCTTAAAAACACCCCAAAAAATTCATTTTTCGTCACCATTTATCCAATTTTATTAATTCCAGTGGCACTATTACAGGCGGCGATGGGCACGACGGACAGTCACGCTGCAGATAAGGCATCCTCACCCCCTCTCTCTTTCCCCCCCATTTTCCTTGTCCTCTTTAAGCACGCCCCACTCCCTTCCAGGCCATTCTGCAGCAGTATTTTTTTCTTTTTTTTTGAGTCAAATAAATACAGAATTGGGCAGATCTAGTGGAAATGTTTTAGTTACAATGGCAAAGATGAGTCATGTGCAACACAGAAACCTATAAGGCTTTTTTTTTTTTTTTCTTTTTTGTTTGTTTTCCTCATTTGAAGTTCTCAAAATCGCTATGAAACCCATTTAATTAACAAGACGGTGGTCACAGGCTGTCTAGCCCCTGGCGGTATGGGTGATAACGCTAATTAATTAAATTTTTCCTGCTCTCCCAGAGTTCCATGAGTGTCGTTAGAGTTTGTCCAGGAAGTTGTCGAGGGCAGGGATTCCCTCCTTCAGCCCTTTGCGCTTGCGGGTCTCGGCCACCACCTGGCACGGCCGGCTGGCACTGTCGAAGGGGTCCCCGGGCAGGATCTGCCAGTGGTCAAAGACACACTGGGGGAAGGCCTGGCCCCCCGTGTTGGACCTCAAATCTGCTGTGAAACCTGCGAGGGACAAGGCAAAAGGTGAGGTGGGGCAGGAGTGGTTGGAGTTTAATGTTGCTTCCATGGAGGGACCGGAGGAAACCAGAGCAGGTCTCAAAAGCCTCCTGAGAGGCCAAACAATGTGAGGTGGGAGTGGAAAAAAGGCTCCAGGAAGAACTTGGAGACCCTTTTAATGCCTGAAACTGGGATTTTGGACAAACACATGGAAGGACAGGACACGGGGAATGGCTTCCCACTGCCAGTGGGCAGGGATAGATAGGATATTGGGAAGGAATTTCTGGCTGGGAGGGTGGTGAAGGTCTGGGATGGAATTCCCAGAGCAGATGGATCCCTGGAAATGTCCAAGGCCGGGGGCAGTGGAAGGTGTCCCTGCCCATGGCATGGGTGGCACTGGAAGACCTTAAAATGTCCCTTCCAACCCAGAATATTCTGAACCTTGGTCTCTTCTCCCAGGCAACAAGAGAATGAGAAGAAACACCCTAACCCTAAGCTGCACCAAGGCAGGGTCAGAGCTTTCCAGGAAAAGTTTTTTTCTCCAGAAGGATGGTCAAGCCCTGGCATGGCTGCCCAGGGCAGTGCTAGAGTCCCCAACCCTTGGGGACTTTCAAATCTGAGTGGATGTGGCACTTGGGGACACGGTTCAGTGCTGGGTGAACAGCTCACAACTCAAGGATCTCCTGAGGTCCTTCCCAAGGCTCTCCCTCCCAGCACGGCTGCAGGACTCACCAAAGGACTCGTTGACAGGCAGGTAGGCCTTGACCACGAACATGGGGGTCCCGGCCACCTGGGTCTCCTCAAACACGTGGCCACGCTTCCTGTTCAGCACGCCGTAGATGCCTCCCACCACCTGCTCCGGGCACTGCGCGAGAGAACGGAGTCAGGGCCGCGCCCGGCCGCCATCCCCCTTTCCCCTGAGGGCTGGCAGGGGCTGCTCACCTGGATCTCCACCAGGTAGATGGGCTCCATGAGGCGTGGCTGGGCGGTGAGCACGCAGGCGTAGAGGCAGCGCCGCGCCGTGGGGATGATCTGGCCGCCGCCGCGGTGGATGGCGTCGGCGTGCAGGGTGACGTCGTGCACGTCGAAACGCACGGCGCGCATGTTCTCCTCGCACAGCACGCCCTGCCGGGGCACAGCGGGGTCACGGCACCGCCCCGGGGTGGCCCCAGCACGGGGTGCTGCTCACGGGAGCTCTGTGGAAGCAGCTCGTTGAGCAGCAAGCTCACCCAGGAGCCGCCTGACCTCCCCTGCTGAGGGATGAAGCTTCAAAGCTACGAAGGTTGGACTCTGGGAGGTCTTTCCCAACTTAAGGGGGTCGGTGGGGCAGCAGCTCCCAGCTCTGTGCCACCACTGCAGCATTCTCAGCTCTGAGGTTCAAGCCACAAGAGCTGTCACACATTTATGGGGCTGAAACTCAAGTATTTGGCCAAGGGAAATGGGTTTTGTTTTTTTTTGGTCTCAGTAATGCCACCAAAGTTCCTGGCTTGGAATCTCCCTCAAACGGAAAGGTATACGAAAATGGATCCTTCCTGTTGCTGTTCCCAGTCTGTCAACTTACCCTGCAGTCCTCTCCTGTCTAATCCTGAAAAGAATTGCTAGACAAGGCCAGATCCCTGTCAACACCCTCAGAGCACCTTTCCTCCTGAAGCCAGTGGTGTTATTCACTGGATTTCCAGATGTAACACTTTGCTCCATGAGAAGCATAAAAAAGAGTAGAACCATGGATGCCACCCAGACCAAGACACCAGGCCTCACCTCCTTGGTGGCCCACTGGAAGCCAGCCACCACGCTGTCCTTGATCTCGTTGAGGTACTGCACTCCCTAACTGGATTTCCAGCTGTAACATTTTGCTCCATGAGAATCATAAAAGAAATAATGAAGAGTAGAACCACGGATGCCACCCAGACCAAGACACCAGGCCTCACCTCCTTGGTGGCCCACTGGAAGCCAGCCACCACGCTGTCCTTGATCTCGTTGAGGTACTGCACTCCCTTGGTGATGTCGGTGAGGATGTTGGGGCCGGTGCCATCGGGCCCGAAGCACCAGATCTTCCTGGCCTCGGTGACGTCCCACTCGTACTTCTCGGCCAGGTACCGCGCCCGCTGCTTCAGCTCCTGCCGGGCCGACACCTCGCCCTTGTCGATGTCCTCGGCCAGGCCGTCGGGGAAGGGCCGTGCCTTCATGTACAGCCGGTTGTGTTTGTTGGGGGACTTGGAAAGGCACATCACGTTGGACTCCTCGCTCACCGTCTCGCGGTAGGACACCACGGGATCCGATTTCTGCAGGGACGCGGTGGGTGTGAGGCACCGGAGCTGGCCAAACCCCACCCCGAGCTCAGCCAGCACTCGGCCTCTCTACCTTAATGGGGATGCAGGCGTGGTCCTCCTCCAGGTCCTTCAGGCAGATCTCCAGGTGCAGCTCCCCAGCGCCAGCGATGATGTGCTCCCCAGACTCCTCGATGATGCACTGGGAACACCAGGAACAGCAGGTGAAGCTTCAGAACGAGCCACAGCCACAAACACCAGCAGCTCTCTACGTGTTTTTTGTGTTTGACCCACAGAGCTTCTTCTAGATGTTCTCCCCACCGATCTGGCGCTGTCACAGCACCAAGCCAAGGACCAACACTCAATACTTTCCCAGCACTGGGGGCAGCACCCCTGGCTCCATTCCTGCCCCATCCACTCACCTGCACCATGGGGTCAGACTTGGCCAGGCGCTTCAGCCCCTCCACCAGCTTGGGCAGGTCGGCCGGGTTCTTGGCCTCCACGGCCACGCGCACCACGGGGCTGACGCTGAACTTCATGACCCTCATGTTGTGGGCGTGCTCGAAGGTGGTGATGGTTCCAGTCTTCACGAGGAACTGGTCCACGCCGACCAGCCCCACGATGTTTCCACAAGGCACGTCCTCAATGGGCTCCACGTAACGGCCCATCATGAGAATGGTCCTAAAGGGAAAGTTGAGTTAGTGAGGCTGGGGAGGAGATCCCACTCAGCCACACAGCCACGCACCTCAACACGCCTCAGGCACAAGAAGAAACCTGAGACAGCACCAGAACACCCCGGCCAGGACACACCTTTGAATTGGCTTCAGGTACAGATCCTCCTTCTTGCCAGGTGTGTAGTTTGGTCCCATGATTCTGACTTTCAAGCCAGTTGAGACGAGACCAGAGAAGACACGGCCAAAAGCGTAGAAACGTCCCTTGTCAGAGGTTGGCACCATTTTGGAGATGTACATCATCAGGGGGCCTTTGGGGTCACAGTTCTTAATGCCTGGAAGGGGGAGAGAGACCAGCTTAGCCCAGAGGTATTGATGTATCTGGCACCCAGCCCAAAACCCCAACTCAAGACCTACACCCACTGTCCCAGCCCAAGGGCTTTTGTCTGGACAAGAGGAAATGGAGAATGGCTTCCCACTACCAGAGAGCAGGGACAGACGGGATACTGGGAAGGGATTCTTCCCTGGGAGGGAGGTGGGGCCCTGGCACAGGGTGCCCAGAGCAGCTGTGGCTGCCCCTGGATCCCTGGAAGTGTCCGAGGCCAGGCTGGACAGGGCTTGGAGCAGCCTGGGACAGTGGAAGGTGTCCCTGCCATGGCAGGAGATGGGGCTGACCTTTCAAGATCTCTTCCAACCCAATCTATTCTGAGATTCCATGGAAGATCACACCACCAAGAAATGTCTTCAACAAGTCCAGGCTCAGATGGACCCTCAGCCTACTCTGAGACTACTCAGTCAGCTCAGTGCTCCAGAACCAAGCTGTGAGCCACTAATCCTCTTTGATCCATGCTAGAAAAGATAC